GTTTTTGTCTAAAGTTATTAATAGTCCAAAGAGCTACTTGTAGTTCTCGAACCTCGGGTTAATTTTTTTTATCTATATCGGAGGTTTTTGATGGGGAAATTTTACACATTGAGACTCCTCACAGCCTCCGTGTTTTTAGTGAACTTGACTCAGAAACACGTTTTCCTTTCAGACGTGGCATTGTTTCAAGGGAACGTTGTTTAGCATCTATTGCAATGAAATGACTACAATTTTATTTGACTTTGGTATAAATGTAACTAAATTTTGGAACGTAAAAATAGCAAAGAAATAACTTTGTACTTTTAAAATATAGTAATTCGTTTAAACGTGTAGGCGGAAGTTGGAAAGTTCCAAAACAATATAGGTGGAACTATGATTATCATAAAGTGTTTGTATTTATTTACAGTCTTACAACAGTTGTTTTTATATTACACTACATGGTACTGAGTAAATCAGTAATACAATAGATTAAACAGCAGTGTTTGAGCCCAGTATTTGTCCCCTTCTCTCCGCTAACACCCCTCTGCAGTTGGTCTCGTCGGGGTCTCCCCAACGCAGCAAGCGCACGTGCTCGGTGTTGTGCTGGGAATTGCGCCGGTGTTTCAGCAGATATGAGACTCACGTAAAATGTCATCACGCGGCTAGCTTCGCTTACGCTCCCAGCTCCTTTGACAGAAGTGTGGAAGTGAATACGACGCCTTTGCGTTTCAGAGTTTACGTGGGAAACACTTATTTTCACTAAGGGTGGCGTCGTCACAGCGTGACCTGACGCTGCTCCCGTCGGAGTTCACCGGACTGAAGGTATGGAGCCGCTGTTGGCCACACGATGTTGACATGGTGTCCGCAGACGCACGTCTTGTAGAGTTCAACTGTTTGCTGGTGTCTTTCAGACATCTGTTAGCTTGTCCCACCCAGCTCTCACCAGCTCCATGTGGCTCCCAAATGGTCCATATTGGCCACTGAAAAAGGAAAAACAACCAGCACATCTTAAGCACATTTCTATTCTCTAATTTCTCCCAAAAGCCTGTTTCTTGGCTTGTAAAGGTGGGGGTTGGGGGTTCGCGAGACGTGTGCCACGTCGTTGACCGAGGGATGGGAGCAGAGTACTGGGGGATGTTCTGCACAATCACTGCTGAGGCATTCATTTCTGTGTACAGTCCAGCAGCAGATTAGAATATGCTGGGAAACCATATAGTAACCGGAATAAGTTACTGGAAATACCGCAGCATCGATTTAGACACTCTAGTATGGGCGCATCCATTGCTCGGAGGCCCCGGGCTCTAAAGTCGCTGATGGGCACCATGATGCAACACAGATGCACAAAGTCAAGGACATAGGTGTTGCAAGACAGAATTTTAGTATTCAAAGTTTCATTACACGAAAGCATAGTTTCTTGTACTAAAATACTAAAAAATCAACCTGTGAAAGAAAGTTAACTTTTTAAATAGTTTATTTCTATCATTTAGGGTTGCAAATATTGTTGATTTGCAACAACCTTTAAGACATTTTCAAAAAGAAGTTAACGGGGGGGATGTGAAACTTACCAACTGTAAGCTTTCTATTTGTATTATGTGAATTAATCAGGAATTATAGCAATTTACTGGAAATTGGGATATACACACACACACACACACACACACACACACACACACACACATACACAAATATATATATATATATATACAAATGAAAAACAAATGACAACTAGCTGAAAATAAATATAGGTTGTTAATATCGGCACAGTTTTACGTATTGGACCAATACCATGTGTTTAAAAAAAAAAAGACAAACATTGGCTTATAACGATGTTGGGTTAGATATTTTGTGCATTCCTAATAAGGTTCGTCCTAAAAATAATTAAAAATGTACTGGACCCAGTACATTTCTACCCAGTGCAGTTCTCTAAATTCTCTTAGAGATTCTGTAAGCCCTCTGAGAGTGCTCAGAGGGTCTCTTAGTTCCCCCTCTGGTAGTGATAAATGTTGCACTATTTTTTTTGTGTTTTTGTTCTTGTTTTATCAAGGAATTCATATTTGACATCTTGTCATATTTTGATTCAGGTTTGGAGGTCTGCAGAGCAAAACCATGAGCTCCAGGGTGTGTAAGCACTGCGGCAGCTCAGACATCGATGTTGACCAGGCGCGGGGCGATGCCGTCTGCATGGGCTGCGGCTCCGTTCTGGAGGACAGCATCATCGTCTCCGAGGTGGAGTTTGTAGAGACGGGCGGCGGAGGCTCCCTGGCTGTTGGACAGTTCGTGTCTTCAGAAGGTGAGACTGATGCGACACCTCTCAGAGCGTACGGACATGTTGGTTTCTGGTTTGTTAGGGTGTGAGTTTTTTTATTTATTTTTTATTTTTTCACTTTTATTTTACACAGCTTAGCATTGGTCAGATCCACAATTTCACTTTGGAACAAGAAGGACTTGTTCACACAAGTTGTAAAAAACAGTGAGATGTCTCAATGATAGTAAAAGAGCATCAATGAGTTGATTATGCCACTGAAAGCTGCAACTTTCACTGCCATAATGAACCATTTAATGAACAATAAAATGTCAGTGTAACCTCAAAGTAGGGCACATTGACACCAGCCCTGTTTAGTTTGCTTTAATAAAACTGGTTCATTTGTCTACAGAGTCCGGTTCGTTTGGGGAAATGTGAATGCTAATCAAACTCTGATCCACCCACAAACCTCGGTCACGGTTTGGTTAGAGTGAACTCTGGTGCGGTTCAGATGCATATGTGAACGTCAAGAGAGCGCTCCAGAAGCAGGTAGTGGACTACAGTGCAGGGCATTCTGGGTAAATCCAACCAAAACAAACGTGCTAGCCTAACTTGTGGGAGAAATGGCTCATCTGTCTTTTGCCAAAGATGATAAAGGAATGCTGCAGTCGCTAAAATCTCACACCACTCCATTTTGTTTTACATTTTATGACAAAGGAAGCTGTACTTCCTTTGTCACAAAAGAAGAAGGAAGCTGAAGCTGAGCGCAACTGTTGTTTCCTTCAGTGGTTCTTGATGTAGCGCCACCACAGGCGATGAGGGGAACAGGTTTTTCAATTAGCTTGGATTGTTGAACTCAGTACAGTGTGAAAGTGAGCTGCTGAAAATGTAGCAAATGTTGCTATTTTGGTCCCCAATAGAACAGAGTCTACTGGACCATCAGGTGTGAAAACACACTTGGATTCATTCCGAAATTCAAAATTAACAGAGAAACGTTTGAGGGGGGTGGGGGGCTAAATTGCTAATCATTAATACAAAACAATGGCTCAGAACATACAACTAAGTAAAAATATGTCCAGTCAGTGAACCTGTTCCAACTGTCTTACTTAGGATAAAGGTTTTGACAGAGCAGGACTGTGAATTTTCCTCACCTGGGTTTGTCGGAGCTGAGGCGTTTTGTATTTTGCTTGTTGACAGACGTTGGAATCCACGTCAAAGTCCATGTGCTGAATGATTGGTGTTTTATCTCTGGATAGAGTTGGGCATATTTTAAGTCGTGAAGACATTTAAGTTTACTGTTTATTCAGTTTTGATTTATTATTCTTCAGTCTATATTTTATTACCAATCTCAGTTGTCCTCTATCCTTCCAGCAGAGGAAGGACAGAGGAAAGACATCAGGTCCCAAGGGCCTCGGGACCTTGTGTCCATGTTAGACTGTCTCCTCCTGCCTGTGGTCGTCCTAACACTGCCCACTCCCCTGGGACCTGTTGAGGCCCCCGGTGTCCCAGTCCTCATGCAGACCATTTCTGTTTTTGTTATTATTATTATTAAGATATGGTTAAGCTTTCTATATCATTTATTTTTATTTTTATTTTTGCATTAGAGGATCAACACACATCTCCCTTATTTAAATGTGATTCTGGTTTTCCTTGCTGTATAGAAGAGCTGCTAGGAGAAATGAGTCTGTGTGTTACTTCATATTTATACCCCACAGACACGCACAGTTATGGATTACTAATTAAAACATCCAAAAAATCAAAAAGTATACAAAATTAAATATTACTTTCATTTGCTTTACTTTTTTAGGAAGTGTTAATGGAGCCCACTGATGATCCCACCCCAATAAATAAGTGTATTTAAATCAAATTAAAAGTTGTATTATTCTAAATTTTCCAGAGTGAGCTTATGTTACTGAAATAAAATATACATTTTGAATAATTATAAGGCTAAAGGCATTTACATGTACCAGTCTGTATTTCAATTCTGTCTAATCAGACTGCCCAGTTTTCAGTTTTATTTAAGTAGATGAGCCTTTTGACCACTAGAGTGCGCTGTAGAATCACACAGTCGGGTTTCTTTAGATTATCTTGGTTTCTGATGGTGATGTTTTTTTGTGTGTTTGTATTTTGGAATCTGTTCAAGGTTTAAAATGGTCTTAATGGTGTGAATGTTAATAGAAATAATTTTTACATTTCAGCACTTTATGCTTTGAGTTACTTAGAACTTTTTATTATTTTTTAGGTGGTCTTAAAAATCCAACTTTTGGGGATGGACACTTCTCAGGGATGGGGTCAGAGTCCAGAGCTCAGACGTTGCAGAGAGGTGAGTGACCAGCAGAGGGAGCCACAATGCTTAGCTAAACGTCCCATGGTGGAACTGATGAAAGTAGATTTAGTTTTTCTTCTTGATGTTTTTTTTTATCTTTTTTCCACCCAAATTGGATGAAATACAGAAACATAAAGAGTGATGTTGATTCTGCTCAACGTTTCATGGCGTTTTTAACATACTGCAACATAAATATTAAAAAGATGAGTAATGTAAAGTCTCCCTGTTAGACAGAAGATGTTTAGACTGCGGACACATTACTCGACTTTTGGTCTTCACAGATTCTGAAAGGACTCGGTTTTTCCTTCTTTTTTTGTTCCACAACTGAAAGACCAAAGATAACTCAAACATTATTTGTGCTGAGGGAAGTCAGGCTACAGGATTCGTCAAACAAACCTGAGCCAAACCGAACTCAACAAACTCTTGTGGAAATTCTTGGAAAGGCAACAGAAGGTACAAACCTGCCATTAGGTGGCAGTAATGGTAGATATGATCAGAAATTGCTGATTACAACTGCCAATGACGATCAAGTTTTTTCTTTTGGTTATTTTCAGTCATTATGGGATTATAGTTAGCTAGTTTATGGCATATATTATAGCTCATAATGTTTCTATGGGTTCTGTTTATTTGGGTTAGTCATAGATGTGTGTTTAAATCTTGAAGTCTGTGTTTAGTCCTTTGGATGCAGGACAGCAATGAAAGGATGAGACTTTGCTTTTTTGTCAATCATGAATAAGTTTAGTTTAAATACTGTGGTTTGGCTATTTGAAGCATGTTTAAGGTTCTGCTACATATATACTGTTATAGGAATTAATGTGCATTCCTTCACTTATGTTACTTTACATATCATGACAAATTAATAAAATCAATAAAAATGACCTGGGGTTTAACAGGTTGTAAAATGAGTTAAGTTTAACCTTCAGTATATAAACTCACACATCAGATTTCACACTGGTAGCAATAACTGTCAGTGTCTTCCATCAGAGAGCAGGAGTTTCAGCCCACTCTTTATTCAGACATTTGCAGACGTTTCTTTCTGCACAGCTCTGTTCATTTCAATCAGGTTGAGGTCCAGACATTGACTGGCCTGTTGGAACATCTTGATTCATTTCTGTCAGCCACTCTGTCGCAGGTTTGCTGCTGCGTTTGGGGTCTTTCATTGTCCTGCTGACGGTCCAGTGAGGACAAAGCTTCAGTTGTCAAACAGAACCCCTCGGATTTTGCAGTAAAATACGTTATGAACAGATTTACATCATGATCTGATCTTAGTGGAAGGTTGATTGTTTGGTCTTGCTTCACCACCATGCTGGTGAAGTGTAGTATTTGCATGAACATGCTGCGTTTCGTTCTCTCCATAGATGTCACTGCATAATAGGGCCTAGCATATCTGCCCTGGGTCTCCTCTGACAAAAAGCCATTCAACCACAAGCCATACAAATGCAGCTCTCTGCATACCTTACCTGTGCTGCCATTCTTTTTAGTGAGAAACAAGCTTTAGAGTCTGAAATGGAGCTGCAGTAGAAATATCTGAAATGACTCAGATATATTGCCAACTTGTGTATATCTGCAGTTCTCCTCCTTCCTAACTCTTCAGGGTTCTTTAGTATTATTCATTGTTAAGTCTCACTTCCTGAGTCCCTGAGTTCAGTCAAGCTAAACTCTTTTACAGGGCAAAGAGAAACTCTGGGCTGCTCCCAGTGTCTGCTCAGTCTGACTCATTAACCGAGTCACAGAGCCATCAGTCTGCTGCCGGCGCTGCGTAACAGCAAAACATTCAAGGATCCAGGGGATTACTTTAGACAGTGTGTGTGTTGCCATTGGTGAATAGGGAATGTATGGACTGGGGAAAAGTTTGCAATGCGATGATCAACTTTCAACTACACATGTGGTCTGGATTCCTTTAGAAGAACAGAAGAGAAAGAAGTGTCCCTTTTGTGTGAAATTAGGACTTTAAATACCAACTTCATCTGGACATCTAAAGAGTGAAAAAAACATTAAAAACAAACATTTCAGTGTTTAACGACGACGTTTTACGGTTTAACTAATTGGATAAAATGTAGTGTTTCTGGACCCAGTCCATCACCAGTCAGTCAACTGTTGGTTTTAGTTTTTTATGTAAAACTAAACTTTTTATCTACTACCTCATCAAAAACCAAAACAAGGTAAACCATCAGCCCGTAGTGGTTCCCTAGTAGTGGTCTACTCAGACTTTGACAGCATTTAGAAGAGTTTGAAATGCATATATATATATATATATATATATATATATATATATATATATGCAATAGGGGACACTGTAAGCTGTACTGACACCATACATCTGCTGCCAATACAACATCAAGTGAAAAACAGCCTTGAGCTCCTAACATATCAAAATACCCATCCCAGGTTTAAACTGTGCATGTGCTGTTTATTTTACCTTCTTTAATTTTTTTTTCCCTAAAAGCCATGTTTGTTTGTTTTTTGTTGTTTTTATTTAGCTCATTTGTATGTTTGTTCCCAGACTGACTTGGTCAGATAGATGAGTAAATGTGAGACCATCACAGTGTCCTACTTCCTCTTCATGTAAATGTCATCAGATGCTGATGGTTCAGCTCTGGGCTTTGATAGTTTGAACCTGTGACCAGGAGCTCCAATTAAAGCTGCAGGCTGATTTCACTTCCTGCTTATCATCTCTGACATGAGGAACCATCTTTGCCATTAGCTTTGGATCTACAGCAGCTGGTTCAGTGTGGAGCCTTTATACATTACATTGTACCATTTGTAGGTTTGTTAGTTTTGCTTGATGATTCTTGGCTTTAATAAAAACCAATAAATAGCGGGACTGCAGGTCAGGCTTTTTGAAGGTTGATGATCAGTCAACTGCTTATATTTCTGTTCTTCCTCTGATTTGATTTTTAGACACCTCACATACTGAAAATTATTAACTCTTTTCTTGAGTGTCTTTTCTCAATAGTAGCATCCACACTGAAGAGTGTTGTCAACATTACCTATTAGTTTGTCTAAGGTGCCTTCATTGATTAGACAGAGTTTTCCAACTTCCTTGTGCAAACATCAAGAAACCACATGCTCTTCAGTAAAAATCAGATAACTCCAGTATGCATAAATGATTGGAATCTTCTAATCTCATCATGTTTGTTTGATTTGATGTTCGTCTCTTTCAGGAAATATGTGGTTTACACAAGTGAGTTGAAATGTGTGTATACAGACATTTGGAATTAGCAATTCAGACTAACTAAAGCTAAAAAAAGAAAAGCCTGATCTGTGTAAATCTAATTCAAATTTACACATAAATCTAGACTTTACAACATATTAAATCAGCCTCTCTGTGTCGGGAAAATGTGATTTATTTGAACTCTATTTCCACACCAAGCTGTTGTAGTTAATTAGTAATAGCAAAAAGTGATAATCCACTTAATGATACTGATTTTTATTATAGATGGGACTAACAATTAATCAACTAACGATTAAATTAATTGACTAACGATTCACTATAGGTGGCCATTTACTTCATAACCTGTGTTTTGATTTGTATCGTGGGGTTGACATGTTTCTTTTTTCATGTGCTGTATTTGAACAAAATCATTTTTTTGTTGTTGTTTTTTATGTCGTCAGCTGTGGTATATACTGACTGAATTAAAAGAAAATTGTGGTTTCTCGCATTATTAAACTTAAACATCTTTATAATCTCCCGGAAACCCCCAAAAACAACCATCCTCATTGGCATCGTATCTAGACTTAATATGGAACCGTCTTGCAATTGGTTGTTAAATGTAGCGTCCCGTATTGAACCAACACGAGACGCAATTTGTTCCATATTCTACAAATGTGTATCTATAATAACAAAGAAATGATCCCTGAGTACTTTATATAGTAGACTGTCCCAGTCATTGTTTCACTTATGGTGCTGGTGTTGTGATATTGTGCCCAATTGCTTTCTGGGTAATACACACTAACCAACACACAGCCCCCCCTCCCCCCGCTTTACATACATAGGACTGATTACATTGATAGAAAAGGTGCAGCAACATAAAACAAACATCTCCGTTGGGACTCCCAACAGATATGATGTTCCAGTAGAAACATATTTTATTGCAACCCAGGACGGATTAATTGAAGTGAACAAGACGAGGGTCTTTGAAGGATTGTTCAGACGTGGTTTTGAGTAAGCTGTGATAACGTTTGTTTGTCTGACGCAGCGTACACGTTGTTACATCCACTCAGCATGATGAGCCCAGTCCCTCACATTCTCAGACAACCCACTCAGTAAGGTCACACATCTGGCTTTGTGTGTTAACTTTCAGTGACCTGTTTAGCACACATGAGGTCATGAACTACAGACACACACACCACAGCTTACTGGCAGCACTTAGTGCAATCATCTTTGACCTGGCTCTCCATCTATTGTACCTGAGTCTGTGTGTGTCTGCAGATGGGGAACATGTGTTTGAGTGAGTGAGTGAGTCTGCTGCTCATTAGAGCCTGAGTATTTACTCATAATAGAACTCGTGTAATCTTTGCAGTTGTGCAAAGTCAGAGCCTCATATTTTGGGGGGGATTTTTAAGCAGCACTATTTAATTTAAGCAATTAGATCTATATTCACTTTATAAAATAAATCATTCAACTTAAACTTATCACGTTGGGTTGTAGGTTATGTCATATCAGCACAACATGTCACATCATTGTGAAATGATGCGACAAGTAAAAGGAAAATGATACATTAATTAAAACACTTTATTTTTTTAGTTTTGTTACAAACAAAATATGAATATTTTGGTGTGCCTTTATAATCACCTTGTACTTTGGTATCCTGAAATAAAATACAGTGAAGCTACTTTCTTCCAAAAGTTACTTAATTCATAAAAAAACTGCTGAATGGTTTTCCAGCTACATCTAAGAATTGGACTATCAAAAAAAAGTTTCAATATATTTCGTAGTTTGAAAAAGTGTCCTCTTTCTCCTAAAAGAGCTAAATTTTATGTTAGCATGAAAAATGCGAGTTCATAACACGTGGAATATGCTAGCCAACAATAATTACACTGCAAGCAGTCCTTCACAATATTAATATTGCACCCATTGATATTACTGCGGTGATATAATTGATGTATTTTGTGTCTCCAAATTCTATAGCACTTAAGTAGAACGTCTTCGTCTGTAATTATTCTGAATATGTGGTTTTGTGTTTTCAGCTAAACAACACATCAACACCCTGGGCCACCAGCTCCAGATGAACCAGCACTGCCTGGACACGGCCTTCAACTTCTACAAGATGGCCCTCAATAAAAGCCTGACACGCGGCCGCAAGTCTGATCACATGATGGCCGCCTGCATCTACCTGGTCTGCCGCACCGAGGGAACGCCTCGTATCCTTTCTGTAACCAAGTGTGTTATGTGTTGATGAGTATATTCTGTGATCTAATAAAAAACTATTTCAGTCCATCTTCTCTCATGGAAAAGCAAAAATTTACAAGCAAATACCAGAACCAGAACATATCATCAGAAACATTTCTAAATGAAACACCCTACAGTCTGAGGTCTATCTGAGGAGTGTATGCACCACTCCTCTCTAACTGCAGTGAGATGTTCTTGCATGTAGAGTTTATTCCACGGCTTCAATTTTAATATTTTTAGAAATGGTCTTGGTAGTTGACATCTTGAGCTGTCTTCAACATGAGCTGTCTGTCAGAGATTAAAATTTTTTTCCAAAAGATGCTGGCTTAATACAAACCTAAATGTTACAGCGGAGCATTATAATAATAATAATATTATTATTATTATTCAAAGTACAGGAAGAACTTTGGGACTTCTTGATGAACATAGAACCTCTTTACATTTGGGCTCAGAGTGTCTTTGCCGTGCCGTTCCCGACCCGCCTGGCCTGTGAGGATGACTGGGTTACGCAACCGCCGGTGGGTTTGTTATTCTGATGAAAGAGAGGGGAGCAGGCACTGTGAGGCCTTTGCTGCTGCGTTGTTGACTCAGCTTCTGTTTGTGTCTGTGTTTCTGTGTGGGTTCGTTTCCACAGGCCTATCTGTTCACGCATGTTTGGAGGGGTAAGGCTGTGGTTAAAAATAGTTGCCTCCCCTCCTCCTTTTTCCACAGCTGGGTGAAGTCGTAGAGATGATCAGGACATAAACAAAAGGAAGAGGAGGAGGAGGAGGAGGAGGAGGAAGGCTCAGTCTTACCTGGAGTTGAATTTAATGAGCACCAACAGCATAGAGATGCTCAACAGTCTGGAACACAGATCCATTTTTAGACCTCAGACAGATTATGCACACACAGCCAGTTCTGCTTCAATTTTTGTTCTTCTTCATTGCGTTTCCTTTTAACTTTATAGCGCTAACTTTTTTGCCGCTTCCCCTGTTATCCAGTAGAAATAACTATCAAGCACTTTGAACTTCTTGCCGATCTGACTTGACGATTAAGAGGAACATTCTTGCAGAAGGCCAGCAGCATCTCCGTTAGCTATTTTTAAATCCCCTCAATGAGAGCGTTCAGCCCAGTTACTAAAAGAGGCCAAGCAACGCAGAATCTCTGAACTGGGATGCTACTGGGCTTGCTCTTGGGGGAGGAAAGAGCTGCTTAACATCAGCAGGTTGCTGTGGCCTTGATCTAAATCTGAACGTTTTGTTCCTCCTTGGAACCGCTTGCATTCAGAACAGTGAGTCTCTTGAATCTTAAGGACTTCTGTTTACAGAGTCCCACACATTGTTGGTATGTTTGAGAAAAATGAAAGAAGTACCTCTGGATGAAAATCTGGAGCTTGGACAAATAAAGATTGTAGGCCACAATCAAACATATTCTAAATGGTTGTTTTTGTTTAAGCTAGTAGCATAGTAGATGCACTTAGAGAACTACTGAGTGTTTGTTGGACTTCCTCAGACTTCTAAGTTAGTGTAAACGGTGACGGTCATTCTTTGATCTCCACAAATATTACGTTTAGTAAATGCCAGGCCAGAGAGGATAACACCTTGAACCACTGAGGACTGAGGAGGTTTTGAGGATCCTCCAGGTGTGTTTAGGGAGGCGGAAACTCTGAAGTTTGGAAATTGTGTTTCGAAGGCGGAGCTAGGTCCACCCAGGCATTTTGCTCAGATGAATGGTTTGTAAGGGAGATTAAAGGATTTCTCAAACATGCATGAAAGAATCAAAGCGTCACTCCAAGTATGTTTTTGATGAGGGAATAACATGTTATGATGTAAAGCTCAAAAAAGTTATGTTGTACTTCTCCTTTAACCAGGAAAATCCAGTTGGGATTAAAAACCTAGAATCCTGGCCAGGAGGCAGCAAAGGTTACACAACAATCACAAATAGTTACGCAGTTAAAAATACCATACAAATAATTATTAAAAACGGTCACAATTTTAAGAATTTACCTCTAATGCTCTGTCTGGACTTAAAAGTGCTCAATGAAATAAGTTTAGTTAATTTCCAGTCTTTTTGCAACATATGTAAACAGAGCAGAGTAAACAAAGACTGTTGTTCCTAATTCTTTGTGGGGAAATGGGACAGAGAGCAAGAAATGATCATTTGAACACAGAGTGAGAATCAATGTTTCTCTGTGTGATTAGATCATGATGTAGGAGGGCAGCAGCCCAAGCAAGGCCTCACAAATAAAAGTGTACCAATGTCCCAACCTCCTGGTGGACAAAGAAGGCCAGTTCACTTGAGTGGAATGATGGGTCAAGGCTTTGCAGTTTGTAACAAACATGATGGATAGATAGTATCAACTTTTTGGTAGCAATTGTGCTGAGGCGTTCATATATAACAAATCTTTGTAATCTAAAACAGATAAAAATGTTGCTGTGACCAGCTGCTTTTTCACCCTTAAAAGAACAATGACATTTGTTTCAAAAGAAGAAGCACATTTTGGGTTTAATGTACTGCATGGAGGAATGCAGTGATGCTGTGATGCATTGTTTTGTGGTGACGGCAGTAAACCAGCAGGACTGGCTGTGAACCAGAGCCATGCCTCGCTCTGGTTCACAGCCGGTCCAGTCACACAGTTTTACTTCAGCTTGAGGTGTTGCTTCTTTTTTTTTTAATTGTGACCATTGGCTTTTGAGGGAAATTCAGCACGTAAATAATTGTACAGTTGTGGTATGTCTCATAAGTTTCTACCTCTAAACATTCACATTTTATTCAGATGATGGTGCTGCAAAGCTCCATCAAACGCTTGTCATTTTATAGCACAATCACGTAACTGCTACCTTTAGTTTCTATGAAATATAGCATATGTCAAAGATAACTTAAAAGAAAATTGAATTTGCAATTCAAATGCTTTTAAATTGGGCTTATGTCTCTTTAAGAAGCTCCTACTCTCTGACTCTGCCTTTGGCATGTCACAACAATGCTGCTCCATTATGGCGTTTACAAAAGCTCTTTGGAGAGTTGGACTGACGCGTAGTTTCTATGATGAGCTCAGCAGACTCCCATTTCCAGTGAATGTTTACTAATTGCTGCTACTAGTCTGGAGGAGCTGAGTGGGGGAGGGAGGTGTGCTCTGTGAGGCGGAAACTGGGCTGGAGACTGCAGCTCAGAGGGAGGAGCTCTGTGGAAACAGGCGGAGCTTTGTGAGAGCGAGCGTTTAGCCGTGCCCCAATGGTTGCCATGGGAGATTGAAGGATTTCTTAAACATGGATGAAAGAATCAAAGCAACACTCTAGGTATGATTTTGATGAGGAAATAACATGATATAAAGCTGAAAAATTAAAGTTTTACATAATACTGCCCCCTTAATAAGCACATAAATGTCACACTGCTGTTCAAAGTACAGGTGGAACATTTGGGTTAAAGTGTGGATTAAGCAAGACAATAGTCACTAACAAAGCCAAGGAAACTCATAGTTGATTTCAGAGATAGGGGGGCGATTCGCATCCACCTGAATAATGTGCAGTTGCGCCACTGCCTTTAAGAGCCAGGCTTTGCTAAATTGTGTTGTCTGTGCTGTGTTTGCAGAAACATTAAAACTTGATTGCTAAATGGTTGGTCTTATCTACCTGAAAGGTTTTCATTGCTCATATGAACAGCTGTGCTTTTTGTTTTACATCTTAGAACAATGTGTTCTAACTTGACATTAAGATAAACATCTGTAAGCTCACCACTCATCAAACTGGACCTTGTGCTGAGGAGCAGAACCCAGATGTGTGTTTAGGGTTCTCCTGGTTTTGGTTCTCCTGATTGGTTGCAGGTTGTCTGTTAATCTCCAGGTGCCGTGTGCCGGGATTATGTTTTCCATCTCATCTGCACGCCTGCTAATTCTATTGTGAGGCCTGTTTCAGAGGAGCCTCTTTAATCCAGCCTGACACCCTGGAGACAGGTGCACCTGTCGCCACGGAGACACTGTAACCACGGCAACCAAATGTCTGCGCCAGCTGAGCACCAGGAGGAAGAGACATCCAGAGGCTGATGTTGCGGTGTGTTTTTGTCTTTTGATTTTTTGACTAGTCTGAAACACTTTTCAGACTAGTATGTAATTTGGCTCTTTTTCTCCGTCTCTTTTTTTTTTTTTTAAAGATGTTGGAAATTAAAATTAATCCCAATTTGTACAGGACTGCCAGACAGTTGCACCGAAAGTAACACTTTGAGTTCAGGAAAATCTTCCTTACGTTCTTTATGTCAGTTGCTCAACTTCCTTTTTGGTTTGTTTTAGGGTGATTTCACTTTAATCCTTTTCATTTTCAACCGTTATGTTGTAGATTATAGATGCAAATCCTAAAATCCTTTGGGTTTATAAAAGTATTTCTGCGTTGATTTTAATGAGTCCAGATGAGTTCAAGTCATCACTCCTCCACTACCTTGCTTAAAAGAACTGCTCTGCTTTGAGTGTTGCTCTCATTAGAAAACACTACGGATGTAAAGATCACAGAGTGTATGATAAAGGAATGTTTATCCATTTATTTTCTCAAAATACTGTTTCAGAGAAAATATTGAAGTGAAGCCGTCATCAGCCTCAGCTGCCCTTTCTCATCTGTGGTCAACCTTTTGTGTCCCTCCTTTTATCCTGTTTGCCTTGACCTTTTTTCCTCAGACATGCTGCTGGATCTCAGTGACATTTTGCAGGTATGTTATCAGTGTAGCGCTGTGAAAAATGATTTCACGTTTTAATGTTAGCCGGTAACAGGAGTAAATACGTAAACCTGATTTCATCTACTAACTTTAGTGAAACGCTATCCGAAGCACTCCGGCTCTGTGGGGCTGAAGGTCATTTCCCTGCCACTGGAAGTTTAACATTTCATCAATTTTCCAGAATTATTGACCTAAAACATGCTGCTATGCAAGTTTTGGTTTTGTTTTCATTGAAATATTTGCACTATAAATTAGATTTAGAAAAATACCTTGTCAGATTTTGTGCTTTTTGCAGCGCATTTGAAATCAGTTTGACTTGTGACCATTGGCTTTTGTGGCAAATAGAATCTTTTTACTGTGCCGTTAAAAAAAGATAAAAAATTACATTTTGTTTTGCTCTAAAATACATGTAAACTGCTAATGTTTTCCTCTTCTGGCTTTTACAAGGCTGACTAACCAATATGAGGGTAATTCCATTATGATTTACTGAAACAATCGCAGCGTGCTTAACTCTAAAAATAAACATATGCTTCCTCTATTTCTTTTTCCGTTTAATTGCCAACAAATGTTCATAAAGTGCAGAAACTGGCTCCTAGCCCCTCACTAGGTTGTGCCTAAAAGCAGCTCTTCCTCACCGCTCGGCCACACGTCTGTTCTGTGCAATAAAACCTGAGGTGTGTGTGTGTGTAAATTTAGAAACCTCCATTAGTCTACATATTTAATGGCAGCCGATTTGCAGTGAGTGGAGGGTGTGGTGGTCATGGTGGGACATTTCTTTGAGTCACAGCTGGTCAGGAGCTTTTATTTTTATGCTCCCAGCTGTCCTGCAGTAGCTGGCGGCCCCTCCCCCAGCCCCCACCTTATACACCCTGGTATTTGGAGGGTGAGGGTTGTCTTTTTGTGGCGAGGGGCTGAAAGGGGGGTGATTAATGCTGGGTCTTTGGGCAGCTGTGGGCCAGTTCCATTCCACTACTTGTGTTTTTTAGTGGATCCACGCCCAAGCCACTTGATCTTTCTTGCATTATCTGAATGACTGCGCCACATCAAAAAAATTTCCTTTAAATATCAGCTGTCTTCTGCAGCTTTTGTGAGGCGTTTTCTGCGTTTGTGCCTGTTGCTGTGCAAAGAAATCTCCGGATGACTGGATGTGCCGGTGGATGAACTCAAGCTCTCCCTTGCCACAAACGTCAGCATCATCACTGCAACTTTATGTGATAGAGATCAACTTACAGTGGCTCAGGATTGTAAAATGATTACATTTCTTATAAATAAAAATATGAAACTATACAGGCGTTTTCATCCCAATCCGCTCAATCAGTATCTGCGTTTCCATTGACCGTCTAGTTGCGCAATTTCACATTTGGCCGTATTGAAATTGGTTTATTTAGCAAAACTGCAATGGAAACTGTTTTTTTTTTTCACATCACACAAGTCACATGATCAGCAGCCGGATGATGCCACGGGTCCAAACCACGAGGAAGAAGACAGGAAGTAGTACATGGCGTGGCATGATTAATTTTTAATGACACTTGTCACGTGAACAAGCTTATTCATGTGTGATTTTAATTATTTAATGGAACCATCGCAACTGCGAAATTGTGTTTTGTCGATATTAGCGGAATGTTGACAGTTTTCCACAGGTGCTATGGAAACACAGCTACTGCCACTTTTCAATTACAACTGCTTTTATTTTCTGTTATTTCTTTTTTTTTTTTTCAGCTTTGTACGTCGTCAAACTGAATGTTTTCCTCGTTCTTTGGTACAAAATGACTCAGACTGTCTGATGTGTGTTTCAACTTCTAAGACTTCCTGTAAATGACCCAAACCGTTTTATGCCTGGGCTACTCTAAAACACGACATGCTTTGAGCAAAACCATTCCACGTGAAAGTTACTTTCCTAGGTTGTTCT